ATGAAAGGACTGTAGTTCTGTCCCTTTACAGGAAATGAGATACTAGGAAATGTTATTCGAGATTCCTTATTGTTAATAGTACCAAAGAAAGTCTACTCAAGAATCGTAGAAGCTAAAATTAGAAATATTGTCGAATGCCTGAGCGATATGTATTGAGAAACTCAAGTTGCACATTTGAACATAAGTTGCAAATTGGTACTGTCTTCACTTTAAGGTAGGTTATAGAGAAGTCCACAGAGAAAGAAAAATGGTTCTCTATCTGCTTAGTGCCTCACACTTTGGATTGATCGAATATCTACTAGTCTTTCACAAAAGCTCGTTTTCCTTTCAGATTCATTCAAAAATCTTTTGCAATTGCACTAAAGAGGAGCAGAGCTATTTCCTTTTATCAATAGACCTCTGTATAACCTGCTTCAAAGTGAAGATAGTCCCAATGTACAACTTCAATAGCAATCTAAAATAAAGTGGTTTACACCATTATCAACCTCGTTTACTTCCTCCAGACCTGCTTGCCAATTGCTTAGAGGAAATCTTTCTTGCTGATAAAGTGTTCTTCACCATAATAAACCTGCTTAACATCATCCAAACCCATCAAGCATTTTTACCCTCTTTTAGCGGCATCTTGAAATATTCTGTTCATCTGTCTACTATATATAATGGATACTATGTATAATGGATACTATATATAATGGATCCATATAATGGATACTGATCCTTGTTTTCTTTTCCGAAATTTTTGCACTTCCTTTGTCGTTCGCTTAATGTATTTTTCCAATTTTTGGGTTCAATTTCGCGTTTTCCCTCATTTTGAGACCAAATACTAACAATCAGTTCCAGTTACATAGAAGAGCTTATAGCTTCGCCCTTTCCATATTTCTTTTGTGCAGAGGGAATAATGCACTTTAATATTAAAAGTTCCTATTTTTTATGATATGGTCCAACTTTCGAATAAAATAAAGGAAATAAAAATGTTTTTTTTTAATAGCGATATAACAATTTTACTAAACAATCCATCACCTATTCATTAAAAGTAGTTCAGATTAGGTATATATTACTTTAGTTTATAAAACAGATATTGATATGACTCATTTCCAGGGAAGTATATACAATTTAAATTACCTCTAAGAATCAGTAAATATATAAAACAAAATGTTAAATTGCAAATATTAAATAAAAAAAATCAAGATATTCTGCAAAGTATTTTTGAATTAAGTTTTATTATTATAATTTTATAATTTTTATAATAGAGGCCTTCTTAAGCGATCTCCGTATAGAATAAATAAAGTTAAATTAAAAAACAAAAATAATAAATTTAAAAAAAAATAATTTTTTACAATTAAATTATTGTAATAATATTTGTTCGTTAATATAATCAATAAAATATAACAAAAACGTTATTATAGCACTATAATTAAGCCATTTATAAGTACTGAGTGGTGTGGTAGAGGTCTGTAGGCACCCACGCCAGTAGCGCTTTTCTGCCGCTTACGTACATTTTATACGGAACTCCTTCAAATATTTTAAAAACTAATCAGTGTTTTAGAAAGAGAAATGTATTCTCCAGATGTTTTATTTCAGCACGTTTTGCATTATTGTTGACCGTTTAATTACAAACGACGCTTGATTTTCAACATGAAAATTTTTTTGTAAAAAAAATTGACTTTACCGATTTTTTTTAATGCCTAATCCAATTAGTTTTTAATATTTTTTCATGTTTTATTATTCTCTGACTATCCAGCTTTAATAAAAGACCAACTATAATGAAATTAAGCCATATGCTGATTCTCAGTAACAAAAAAACTAACTAAAGTCAAAGTCGTCAATCCGCCATGTTTGGACGCCATTTTGGGGCAGTTCGTTCACTTTTTTTTGTGGGAACATTGACTTTTTTTTAATAAATTGTCACAAGGAACACAACGATATGCAATTTATAGGGATGTGGGGGGGGGTGCACGGTAAGGGGGTCTGGCCCACCGTGTAAAACTCCTTGCTGAACACACCTGTAAGTCACTAATTTTATTCTTCCAATTTTATTTACTTATTTATTTTCTTTTTTCTTTTCTTTCTCCACATTCCTTTATATATTATTTCATATTATATCCTAACTATCGAATTCCTCTCGCATCCAATCCTTACAATCCAAAATCCTTCATAAAATCCTCAATGCTCCTTACTTTGTCACTAATAAAATTATCCATAAAGATCTTAATGTTCCTTATGTTTCAGATCTGGCCCAATCCAGATAACTATCCTTCCATAATAAATTTCAAAATCATCCCAACCCTCTCGTTTCTAACCTTGCTTCCTCTTCAATTCCTGATAACCCTCCGAGGCGTCTGAAAATAAGATGGCCCCGTGATCTCCTAATGTAGTCATATTATTAGAGTGCTACCATTGGGTAGTTACTCAGCAAGTGTATTCATGTCATTATATCTATTACGTCCAAATTTACTAAATGTATTTATGTAATACAGTTGTAAATGTCATTAAGAAATAAAAATAAAAATAAAATATTATATCCTTTTTCCTTTTCTTTCAATCTCTCCTGTAGATCTGCAGAACTATATTCACATTTGCATTTATTATGTATCACACTACAACAATTGTTATCATCTATTTAGTTCAGTTTAGAATCTTGTTACTTAGCTTACTCTGTTCATATTTTAATGTACTTACTGTTTATAATTTTAATAAGCTTATTGACATTGTTAATAATTTTTGTCTAAATATTATGTAACTTGCACAATTCTGTATCTTGTCCGTTCTAGCCCTGAAGAAGACCAGCAAAGTTAGGTCGAAACGTTGGCTTTTAATAAAAATAGTTTTACCGCTATTTAGCCTATTTATGACCGCCACCCCGGACCATCTCCCTTTATAATGCAACGGTCAACTATTAAATATTCAATAAAAAATATATTTATACTTGTAATTATTAAATATATTTTTTCCAACATTATCGTAGAAAATTTATAAGAAAATCAGGTGAAAATAGAGATGTCCACATGAGAAGTGAATGAATAATAAAATCCCAGTTTGTATACAATATTATTATCCTCTAGCCTGCTAGTCAACTTTTCTTATTCGATTTTAGTTTTCATATTTCATTCATTCATGTAGCTTCTTTTTTATTTTATTTTTTTACTTCAAATTATTGGGGAGGGAGAGGCGAAACAATATTCTTGCCGCCTCTACATTTTTATTGGGGAGGGGGCCGAACACCTTCCCCCCAAAGTCTGATTATTACTACGTATTAATGCCAATTAAGGTTGGCAAAACATAATAATAATACTGAGGAGAAGGGTAAATATAAAATAAATGATATTTGCGTGATCCATAATTGGACTTTTAACAAAAAAAAAGTAATTAAAAATTAGTAAAATACTATACAAAATTAACATACTCATATTTCCACTCTTCTCTATTGATAATCTTTGAAAACTTAACTTTTGGGTAATTTTTCTATACTTTAGTGAATACTATCAAGTGCATTTTATAATATTAAGTATTGTAAACGGTTTTCTGTTATCAGCTACAGTAACAGTAGTGGCAACACCATTAAATACAGTAGTATGAAGGAGAAACGGTGGATGGGAAGGCGAAAAAAAAAAAAAGGAAAGGTGGTAAATGGTATTCTGTACAAATTAGGATTACGGTCGGAAAGCCAACTAATAATAAATTAATGTTATTATGTCAATAGCTGTTTCTATGTAATGTAATACCGAGTATATCTATTTTAATTTTTCAATAAGTTATTTTTTTTTAATTTTTAAATGCTTATATTACGCTCCCAAATTTCCAAGGCCCTAATTGAGGGGTCACTAACCCAATGTCCACGGGCATCATTGTGCAGGTATGATCTGTCGGTAATTGCATTACGCAGTGTTTCTGTCCAAAGATTTTTTTTATAAATTATCTAATTAGTAATTAATTAGAAATAAATATAATTGTAAATTGAGCAGGAATTTGATCATATAGTCTATTGTACAGTAAATATTATTAGTATAGTAAATTAAACATAGGAATATACAAATAATCATGCATGAAAAATTAACTAAAGAATATTAGATATGACTGTTGAAAAATTTAAAAATTGTTTTTAGACTTGAGAATGGCTGGACTAAGAGCCAAAACCTCTTAGTAGGGTTTTGGAAGTGAAAACATCGGTGTAATAATGGCTTATATAAAAAATTAGAAACGCAGAAAATATAATTGTATTTCTTTGAAAATAGTCATAGCAATTTAACAATAATGTTCAGTCAATCTTATGATTATTTCCCTCTTCCTGTTTTTTACGAAAACTAAATTGCTAAGTTGGTAATGTTTCATTCAGCGTATCTAATCACTAGTTATGTGCTTATATATCCAATCGTAAAGAAGAATTGTTAGTTTTATTGTCCACATTTAACGCTTTTGAGAAAATATTCGATTTATTGACGATAATGTGGATTTGGGTCTCTACAACCCAAGCAGCAATATCAGGAACGTTCTGGAAAATCGAAGGGACACTGGGTAAACCGGGCCTAAGAGTTAATGAAAATAAGAATATATATATGAAAAGTTCAAGAAGGGAAAAGAAGTTGAATAAAGAAATAACTATAATAAATCACAACTTAAGGTCTGCAAACCAGTTCAAGTACCTAAGAAGCCTGGTTACTTACGAATAAAAAAGTAGAGAGTAAAATAAATGTCAGGATAGCAGTTGGAAATAGAGGCTATTTCTCACTGCAAAGAGATTTGAAATTTAGGTCCCTCTCAAAAAGAATCAAAATTCTTATTTACAAAACAACAGTAAGGCTAGTGGTTATGTATAGGTGAGAGACGTAACCGAACAATCAGAAAGCATTCTCAACTCCTAGGAGAGATAACTGTTGAGAAGAATATGGGCCAGAGTCACTGAGAACAGGATGTGGAGAAGAAGAAGGAATGAATAGCTTTGTGAAATATAAAAAATACGAATAATATGGATAGGACACGTGGAAAGAATTCCAAAGAGGATAATGTAGATTTAGGTTATTTAATATAAAATCAATGAATTATTTCAAATATACAATCTTTTATTCATCAATGTTCAATCACCATATAAAAAGGATAACCATATCAAATCAAAATATCACATGAGCTCTTAAAACAAAAAAAATAGTAAAATTCTAGTACTGTTGAGCAAGTAATTGAAATTGGACGTGTTCTGTTCAATTTCTCTTGAGGCAGTAACCCTTTATTTCATTTATGCTGCAGCTCTTTCGGCAGCATTCATCATGAACTCCTCTCTTTAGTCTCTTGTATTGAAGGGCCGACATTGCTCGGGCTTTTGGATGAAATGGAAATCTGTAATCATTTCCTGATTGTTCCAAAGAGTCCATCAGGTTGTAGTCTGAATAATCTGAAATAGAAAGATGAAATTACATTGTTGATATATAGTGTCAAAAGGAAGTTGTATTATTGATATTATCAAGTGATCTGTATAAATGAGCTTTTCATAACATTTTCCGGTACTGGTGAGCAGTTATCTTGTTATTTAAAGGTTTGTTGTTGTTATTTATATTTCTTATTATTAAATGTTCATAACCTGAACACTGATAATTGTTACAAGGCACTGATAATGTCTATCTTCGTATGAAATTAGACTCTCGTATAATCAGAAATATAAATATATTTGGTGTTGCCTCTTTTTTGCCTGTTTCTTATTAATATATATATGTACATACATATGTATATATGTATATACATGTATACATACATATATATATTAATAAGAAATATAAATAATAACAACAACACTTTAAATAACATGATAACTGCAGATAGCAGTCCATAGAGGCCGCGTCGCTCACAAGTACCCATTTTCCAAATATCTTCCACAAGGCTAGTCTTTGGACCTAGTCTTTCGTCTTTTACGATGATACAACCACCTCACTCCCCTCCAGTTACCTAATGTAATAGTGTGCCCTTAACATTTTATCCGCTGCACTCGGAAAATTGGTCTATTTTCGTAACTGAGCGAGGTTCAACATCTTCTAATGTGTTTATTGGAATGTACGCATGCATTATGAAGATATACACATGAACTGAAAATATAATTAAAACTGTTTAATTAATCAAGTAAAACTTGAACAAATAACGTATTAAAGATGAAATGGCGTATTTTATGTAAATATAAAGTATTTTAAAGCATAACATAGATTAGATGTAATAGACATACAGACCCTACCCTGTTCGGATCCGCGTAGAAAACTATGAATAACTTTTTCTTGACAAAACCTGATGGAAGTAACAGGTATACGTACCCCAGTATTATCGTCTTTATCTACCTAAATCGACTAAATCCACTCTTCGCCAATTTTCAATACATTTTGTTAGAAAAACTGATTAATTAACGTTAATTTTAAATATTTTTTTTTTACCGATTAGGCATTTTTAATGATACGGTAAGGAAGTGGCTCTTAATAAAAAAGAGTAAATACACATAGAAATCATTTAATTTGATTTTGAACATTAGTCGGCGTTGGGTACAATCATGGTACCTTTCGTTTATGGTATTTGATCTCTCGGAAAATTTCTTTCTTTCCAAACCTTGGAAGGTTTATTCATAGTTTACGGTTAATCATAAACTGTAAACTATAAAAATAATTTTAGTCGTAGTTTATCAATTGCAAATAAATAAACTTACAATCGTCATATGATTGGAGGGATGACTTCTTGAAGGGAGAGTTATACAAGCCACCACAGATCAGGAACAGGGCTTTGTTGAGTTCTTCCCCGCAGTAGATCTGGGTTCGTTTGGCTTCATTTTGGGTGATGACATCCCATTGAGCAAAGGCAGTTATGAACAAGGAGGCGAGGAGGAGCTGTCTGATCATCTAGAAAAAAAAAAGAGTTAAATGGTTGAGTTTGTTTCTTAAATCTAAGTTTGGAACCACCCTTCCCACATCACACACCGTAAAAAAAAAAAAGTTTGCCCGTTTTTGTTTATTGAGTAATATAACATTCTGTCACATGAACTATAATTGTATACTTCAGGTAAGACTACATTCACACTATATATACTAAAAATATAAAATAAACAGGAGCAACATAACAACCAAATAATAATCAAAAAGTATTTACGGTAAATAAAAATAAAATAACTTAATATAAGTAAATTAAAAAAAAAAACAGAGATATACCTGTATACAATATTTACAACCAGGCGAGGGAACTCGAAGCCATGCTTGTCCCTCCAACAATAGAGAGAAAAGCAGGACTCCAGGAGATCCCTGCTTTTCTCTCCAACTATAAAGAGAAATGAAATAACTCCAGGAGATCCCTGTACTAATTACTCTATCAACGATGTTACTGGTGCTAAAGCCAATGGAGATTGAGCGAGATTGCTTTCGGAAAACAATAAATAAATGAAACAAGAAATATATACCACAAATTTCAGAAAACTGGTTGAGAGGTTGGTCGGTGTTTAGTATTTCAACATTTTGAATAAACCTAATTGCAAAATATATATATATATATATATATATATATGTACATTCATCAGAGCTGGGACTGTAGTTTCTGTAGGGAGGCAATCTTTATTTTCCCTTCTTTATCTCCATGGTTTCATTTTACCATTTCGGTTGGGGGGGAGGAGGCATAATCACGAAAGTCCCTCCCCCCCCGTTGATCCGCTTGTGACATATAGTAATGAACGGTGAAACAATATTGATATAATACTTGTACAATGATTTGATAGGTGACTTCCTTCATTTCCTGTCAAAAAACCTTTTATCAATTATCATGAACTGGTTTCTCTCTTCAAAGTCAGTTTGTAGTATATGATAAGGATGAGGTATTATGGAGTTTAGGTTGTTCTCAACAAAATATCAAAATCGGAACATTAAACAACTTTTATTACAGCCCGTGCTACAGACCCCTTTTTATCAAATTATTAACATCCGCCTGATAATTCGTTAATAGCTTCATCTCATCGTAACCTACAAATTCTCGTAATTGGGGCGTTTCCAATCTGGAGATCGGCAAACTTTGTCTATTTAATTAGGCACTAGAAATTCATGAATACTCCTTTGATTTCCACTTGAGTCGTAAGATAATATCATTCTATAAATGACGATCTTCAGATTGAAAACGCCCCAATTCCGAGAATATTCACAAATAAAATATTTGTAGGTTACGATGAGATAAAGTTATTTACGAAGTTTTAGGTGGTTGTTAATAATTTGATAAAAAGGGGTGTGTACCACGGACTATTATTTAGTATGGTTTTCGATTTATCAATTTTCTAAGGTATTGTGATATTTTAAACGGCGACATGTGAAGTTCAGAGGTATCGATTATTAAAATATATGCTGTTCAAGCAGAATCGACTTTTACTGGCTTGCGTCCAACGAGCCTTAGTGGGTCGACGTTTTCGCGACCACAGTTCCGGGCGGGACCTGACACTCGAGGGAGGAAGAGCAGAAGTACCCTTGAGGATTTTTCCCCTCCAATTCACCCGCCGATGGTGATGACTACTGGTTCGAACAGAGGACGAAAGTAATCCCGTTTCGAGAAGAATAAAATGAAAAAGTCGCAATTGTCTCTTGCGGAGCCTTTGGCCGGACCAAATACCACTTTCACGGACGAGGATATCGGCCAAGGGAGGGAGAGAGTTAAGGAGGTCGCTGGCAGCTGCAGTTTGAGGCCGACATCCGGACCAACTGCAAGGTAACCTTACAACTATTTTTTTATTATTAAAATGTTTCGATCGTATCACAATGACACTTGATTATGCTGTATCATAATACTAGGTGGCGAATTATGTTAAAATCGAGCAGTTTGAAAAGCGATCCTCATTCCGATTAGGTACTCGGATTTCAAGGCATTTCGATTGAAAAAAAAAATAAATAAATAACCGACCATTTTTACCGTAATAATTTATATGAACATAATTAATCCCGGGATGTATAATTTGTGACCGAATTTAGATTCTAATCACATAAATGAAATAACAACCGGCTCAATATACTAATAGTTATCAATTATGTCTGGTTCTTATCAACAAACAAAGTTAGAATGAATGCCTTTTTTGTACTTACTGTATTAATATATTTACATATATATATTAAAAAGATTTAATACAATTAACAGTTGATCTGTTTACTTACTGAGAAATCATTTTACTGCAGTGGTGTCGGCAAGGAAACCGCAAGGTTCACGTCCACTTAATGTGTGTCGGTTCGTCTATTGACCTCATGTCAAGTCAGATAACAAGAGAGGTCGAGATGAGATAGCAAATGCAGATTCTGTTGGTTCCCGTGCAATCTTCGCTGGCTTTATTATGTCCCACCGATACCAAAAGAGTCCCGCATATGGGAGAGGGGGATAGCCGTTGTCATGTTTACGGAGTCTGGAGTTTCAAGGGACCCGGTAAAAATAATATAACTTAATAATTACTGTTAAAAATTGTAATGTAACATATCATTAGGTATATCGTTTAAAATTTATAACTATTTATAAGTTATTATATTATTTACTTACTCATAGATGCAAAACAAACATGTAATATTTATCGCACGAGAAGGGAGTCGGTCTAAGGATGTTGGGGCGTGGATCCGAACGTATCTCCCGGCAAACGAGAAATGAATTGTTACATTATCTTTTAGTGAACACAACAAGACTATAATCGGCAGGCAAGTTCATTGTCTACACAGCGCCACTAATCAGATAGCCACGTCGAATAACGGATGGAATTTCCTTTCTTATTTTTTTAAATTTAAATAATTTAATAAAAAAAAACCTTTACAAATTTCATAATGAAAGACTAAACACGTTTAAGAAAAGCTTATAAATTGATTTGGGTGTGTGCAAACTGCAAGGAACGTGTTAACATTTTGGGTAGATTTGAAAATATGGACATATTGAAATTGAAACCAAATATATTGGACATAATTATATCCTCATAATTATTACTTCGAAAGAAGAAGAAATAAACCAACTAACTATATTAAATGGTGTTTAACTGATTCTTGAAGTGCTATTAAGTGTAATTACACGGAAAATAATACTTTTAGAGATAATTGTTTAGTATATCTTTCATAAGACATGGTTATATTTTACCATTTTGGTGGGGAGGGGACTTCAACCTGAAAGCTCCCCCGCTAATCCGCCTGTGATTTCATCTAATACAAATGTTATAAAATGTATTAATATTACTTAAACAAGATGATTATTTGTTAATCTATCATGTATATTTTATGATATAAATAGTTGCAATTGGTACTGAATATTAAAACTGAATTTAATATTTAGTAAGTATACATATTCCTTCTTACATTCATCCTGAGCGAACGGAATATGCCATTCATCTCGATATATTATGTATAATATGTACTATATATTTTCTTTAAAATTGAAAAAAAAAAATTGTTGAAAACTATTTCTTTGATTAGAATTCACGAAAAATATTTGTGTAATTATTTTAGAATCGATAAAATTATTTTATATTACATTAAACTATCATTTTATTCCAAAGTTTTATTATTATCTCTGTATCACTTATATAAGTTCGGGCATTGATAATAAATAAATTATTATGTGATTTTTGATATAGTAATTATGGACCGAATTTTAAGCATTTTGAATTATTTTAGGTAAAACGCACATATTTTAATCGTGTATGTGAGACTTCAACTGCTGGAATCCGTTGTTAGTAAATTATGAAACCGTTTTACTTCATCGTTAACGTAAATTGTAAGCTATTACAAAGATGAGAGGACCCAACAATTACAACATACCATATGACGTTTTTCGGAAAGTGATAGAAATTGTAAATTCAATATTATACAACCATGGAATTTCTAAATCGTTCACCAACATTGTAGGTAAATTTTAATAGATGTTCAATAGATTCCAATGATACTACCTTAATGATTGCTGAGGGTAAGAAGCCTGTGGAAGGAATGAGATAGATTCCCAGGTTCTCAACATTTATATACCTGATTCTGTCTCATTTAATATCAATTAACAGATGTGTCAGCTAACATTTATTCCACTAGATTTAGTCTACAGCCAATTTGATTTGACCCCTCTTCCCGCACCTTCTCCATTTAAATATGTCCGCTCTATTAATAATCGATGGCTTAATCTGCGTTCCCTTTCTAAGAAATTCCGAATCAATTAGAAGCATTGTGAATAATAGTAGAAGTGAAACATGAATGACCACGGCTGGCTCCTGCCTTTGACCTCTTGGAGGGAAAACATATGGTAAAAGAGTTGGCGTCCAAAACGTCGCACAGTGGGGCCAATATAGCGGGGCAAAAGTCTAGAGAAGAAGAAGAAAAAGTCTTTTTATTTATCAAAATTACAAAACAACAAAATAATATTTTTGGATTTCAAAACCGAAAATCAGACGTGCTACATGGTCTGTTGGCCGTCAGAGGAGTCTGTGTTTTATAACAAAATTATATTTCAATCCATTTACACACAACCAACTAATTAATAGGAAAATAAGAACAATTATATTTACAATGTAAAAGTTATAAAAATATTTTAATTACAAAAACAGTGGTACCGAAATTCACCAATTCATTAATTATTAAATTCTCTGGTGAGCATTATTCTATAGGAGAAAGCAGACTTGCAGTAATTTACCAATGCTATCCAATTGTTTCCATTTAATAATTCAATTACTTGATCCCGAGATGAATTTCTAGACTTTGACCATTTAATTTTAAATTCAGAGAGTATCGGACAAGCAGCCAGGAAGTGATAAGAGATCTTCTGTTTCGTTTGTATTACACATGCTACAATTATTATTTGTTTGCTGGAAGTGTTTATAATTTAAGTTCAAAACATCAGCTTTAATTTTAAGTACCCATCTGATCACTTTCAATGAGCTTTTGTGATAAATATAATTTACTGAAGTTAAATGAGGATAAAAAAAGTGAAAGTTTTAGAATTCTGAACTTTAATTACATATTGATTATATATGTCTTTCTGAATTTGAGTTCTTAGTAAATATAAATTAGCTCTTCATAGTTTAACATCATCACAGTTAAGTTGAAATTCATCGATGCAGTTCAATCAGATTAAGTAAGTCCCTATACCATGCGATTTCTTTTTTAATTATCTGTAGTGCTAATATTTTTGAATATGTATGTGGTGGAAGATTAAACATTTTTATAATATAATCAAAATGGAGTTTAATTGTGAAGATAAATAACGGATCTATTTTAGTCTCAAAGTGAATAAAGTGTGTTGGAGTATATTTTGGTAATTTAAATATTTTTTTAAGAATCTTAGTTGTCTTTCCACGGCTTCATAACTTATCGCACCCCAGATTTCAAAAGTCTAGAAGTCATGTTATTGACAATAAAATGTTTCATTATCATCCAGGATATTTAAAAAAAGTCATTGAATGATTTGTAAACCATTTTTTTTTTCTAAAACTAGTGCATTTTTTATATTGCACGAAAATTGTAAACTATAAATATAATATTTCTATAATAAAATATCACTTAGGCAGAGGTAATCGATTTATTTTTCATTGTTTATTAAATATTCGTATCCGGCATTAGAAGCAAATACAGAACACTCAACACTATTGTTGTTTTTGGTTTGAGCTGTAAGGCCTAAAACGCCTGTCACTTATTTTGCTTGTATGTTGAGTTCAGAAACTCCTTAGAAGCGAGAAAAAATAATCAATAATCAAAAACTAATAATAAATAAATAAAATAATATATGAAAGATATTTAAGGACATATGAAAATGAAATAAATAAATAAAAAATACAATAAAAATAAAAATAATATTTATTTCTATATTTTATTTAACAGTCTGTGGATTTTAAGAAATTTTATAACTGTTTTAATTTCTGTTTCGTCATTGTTTAATACTATTGATATTTCCGGTCTTAGAGATAATCTGTTTAAGCTAGAGGTACAATATGGGCATTCCTGAAAAATATGAATGACACTTAGATGGCCATTGCAGTGTTGACAGTTCGGAGGTAGCTCTCAGTAGGCTGTAGAAACGAATGCATGATTTTTTTTTTTCAAATCATAATATATTTTTTATTCTTTTCATTATACCTAGATTTGGTGTCTTAATTTTTTCATTTATATAGATTAATTCCGTTATTCACCAACATTCTATTTATTTTTCATTTTATGTAGACAACGTTTCGGCCAACACTAGGGCCATTTTCTATCCTTACCTGAGTTCTCCACTAAATCTCCATATTGGACGTAATTTTAATTTGTTCTCAGAAATATGAAAATGGCATCTATTATGCAGATTTAGTGGAGGACTCAGACTTAAAAATGACTATATATGAATATATATATATATATATATATATATATATATATATATATATATATATATATATATATATATATATATTAGTTGAGTATTGATTAAGTACTACTCAATATCTGGAAACGAAAATTTAGCGTATTCGATCTGGATTCATTCTGAGTCAAATGATTGTTGTTGGATAATATCAAGTTTGAGATCGTATAATTTAGACGCTGATTTCAAAAAGATCCATTTTTTATTTTACAGAAAAAGAAAATTCTGTCCTTAATTTGTTATTGAACAAAGTTACTTGATTCCTTTTTCAGGAAAATTAAGATTTTTTCCAACAATGTATTATCAATATGGCACTTTTTGGGAGAAGAAATGTGGATACTGTGCTTTTTTCAAGAACTAAATATAATGTAAAACTTTGTGAAAGAATAAGACCTCTTTATACGACGTTTTGTTCCAATCCAATACGTCTCAAAGGAATAATAAATTATTCTTCAACACGATTTTCTTTAACTGTTTTTTTTTTCCCTCTCACACTCAGGTTTTACCTAATTCTTCTTTACATTAATTTTGGAAATAATATTCGGGGATTAGTCAAGGTGATTAAAACATTCTTATCATTATGTTGCTTTATTTATTTTATGGTTGACATTTCGAACCTCATCATAATTCGACTGTTAAGTTCTGACCATTCGAGCTCTGATAATGAACTTTCATAAAATGCATGTTTTATTCATCTTGACATATCCTCTACAGTACATTTTCTGGAAACATCTTAGAGTATTTCCATCCCACGCCCCTTCTGCCAACTCTATTTTTTTTTGCTTTCTATCATTTTATTTCTTTTCTAAGTTTACTAAAGCTTGTCTGATGTTCTTTGTAAATATTTGTAAAGATAAAAAAAAAATAAAAAATAAAAAAATTTATATATATATATATATATATATATATATATA